AAATCCGTGTACACATCAAAATAACAGGAATGATCCGAAGTATTACCTAGAAAACGTACTCTCTGTGTCCTCAAACCTCAGAACTCGAACCCCTTGCTGTTCCTTTAGCCAAAAGTCCTCTCCTTCTTGCCCAACAATCTCTTCAAAGTTCCATTAGCCTCAAATCTTGCTCTAGATGTCCACAGACGCTTAGGGTTCTTCTCAATCGGCTAAAAGACGGACAATGACGGCCTAAAAGGCGTTATATACGATCCAAAACCAAACGGCTAGGGTCTCTGCTGAACAGCGCAGACTCGCCGAGTCCATAATGGACTCGTCGAGTCCAGTCGCGAACCCGCGACCCAGTCTGTGGTCCTACTCGGCGAGTCTGGCTCCAACTCGCCGAGTCCCTTCCTAAAACACCCCAAAAACAATATTATAAAAATACCTGAAATTCCGGGCTGTTACACAATAGGGGAGTAAAGAGGTTGAGGGAGGAATATAATGTTCTTTATATAGGGCACAACTTCTGCGATTAGGGTTTACCCTCTTTATCATCAACTCGTCGAGTCCAGCTTCCGACTCGGCGAGTTGGTCACTTAACCCGTGTCCCAAACCCGCTTCGACTCGTCGAGTTCCTCCTTGGACTCGATGAGTTGTCCTTTTGACTTAGGGTTTTCTTTCCTTTCTTGGCCTTTCTGATCTTGGGTGTTACAGTGCATGTGTGTGTGTGTGTGTCTATGTATATATATATATATATATATATATATAGTTTAACGGCAAAAATTTACAAGCCAAGTTTTTCATTTTCAAACACAATAAACACATGTCATATTTTCCAAAAATCTCAAGTATCAACATCAAAACATTTTATTTATCAAAAGTTGTTTATGACAAAAACCAGGATCCTCCAAAAACATATCTCCAAAGCGAGTGTGTGTAGAATCAAGTCAGGGCTTTCTTGCGATCGTCGGAAGTACCTGATACCCCTAACACATAACACGGTAAGCATAGAGCTTAGTGAGTTCCCCAAAATACTACACATAGGTCATTAGCCACTCTAGGCTATAACTCAATAAGACCGTCCAGTCAATGTGTCTCAGTGGGACCCTCCGATCCCAACTCAGTAAGCTGATAATAACAATACTTAGCATAAATCACAAGGACATATTGCGGAATATTAAGATACACAGGAAATCACAAATATCATCTCAATCACATGAAACTACCACTCATGGTAAGTATAGTGAGAAGACACAACTTGCAATAAATCCGCACATCTTGAACTCAAATCACCGGTCTAGCCTTCGCCTAACATACACAAGAATTATCCCTAATTAATCACGGCTCTAATGAGGCTACACTAAACTCACAGAAGGGAAACAGACCATTTTACCCCTCAATGGCCCTAGATGTCGACAAATTGACCAAACCCTAAAAGTCAACCAAAAGTAAATGGCAGGGAGTACACTACGCGTACCAGCTCTCTACGTTGGCAGTACTTATCTGCCATGCAGGCATCAGGGATGCACGACCCCAACATTCTGCATAGTGGAATTACGTCCAGCGTACGCTCCAGTTTAACTCTCCTATCTCATTTGGTCTTAAACAATTAATACCTTGGCTCATATTATAGATCTGGACTCCGTAATAGCTCTTAACCTATAAACTCAGTGACTTTAAGCCTTTGCATGGCTGAAATGGTCACAAATAGACAAACTACTCTTTCTACTATATCAAGAAGCTCATAACTCGTGCATGGCTTGATTCCAACGACTAAGATTGGATTTTTATGACATTACACCACTAATAAACTCAAAAAGGGGTTGGTCCTAGTCATTGGTGATCAAGATCTCATAAAGTCTCCTCCTTTTTGGGACAAAACTGTAAAATACTCCACTATGATGCACATAACTAAATAGTAGGAAAGTTTGAAGCTTTATACCTCTATATTAAGCACCCAACTCAGATATGCTCAAATCCGAGAGCCTAGACTCCCACTCCTTCTTCTCCAAAGCTTTCTCTTCTCTTTAATAGCATACAAGGACTCTCAAGGGCTCTCAAATGCACTCACAAGCTTTAAAACGAGGCTTAGGGCACACTTAGGGTTTCTTGTCTGAGAATGGTGGCCAGAAATGAGGCCATCATATCCTTTATATAGGGGACTCACCCTAAATTAGTCTTTTCACTTTGGGCCTAGTACGCCCTACGTACCCTCTGGTACGTCTAGCGTACTAGATGGCTTCCGCGTCAAATACACGCACATGAGTACGCTGAGCATACACTCACATACGACCCGCGTACTCATTCACTACCATAGTTTTTCATAAAGGGACAACCGCTCAAAGACCAAGGGTTATAAGGTATACCTGAACTCGGGATGTTACACATAGTGTGTGTATGTGTCTCTATATATATATATATATACACACACACACACACACGGTTAACCCCGTTTATAAATCTTGTGTTTACCACAATGAGAAATGAGAATGTATACAACCCTGCCTCATTTAAAATTATTGACTCTAGAGATATAGTAATATGGAGAAGACAAAACTGTTTTAAGCACCGACAGAACTGGAAGCGCCCCTTCTTTCAAAGAGAAGAGGACGGATTATTCACATTTTATTTGATGGTCAGAGGCGAATTGAAATCTATGTAGTGGTAATTCTAATGATTCCCCTAGAGGGGGGGAATAGATATGTCTCCTACGTTACCCATAATATGTGGAAGTATCAACGTAATTTCATAGTCATCATTTTTTAAATTAGTGAAAGGGAGAAAACCGAACAATTTCAAGTTGGGTCGAATTAATAAATGGATAGGGCCCTATGGCTTGAATTAATTTCATTTTGATTATAGGGAAAGAAAATCAACGAGCTTTCGTTCTTAATTTGAATGACTACCCAATCTAATTAAACGTGAAAAAATATTAGTGAACAATACGGGAAGGCTTTCTCCCAGGGATGTATTCTTGATTTTTAAATGAATCCTAAATATTACCATTCTCCATTCCATAATGGAGACGTGCGTGTATAAGAAACAATATATTGATAAAATTTTGAAAAAAAACCTTGCCTAATGGCGAGATAGTAGGTGGATCAACATAATTAAGAGTAAATACCTTATTTCACTTCTATTTTGATATCCATATAAAGAAGACGACGAGCATAAATATCTTCTTTCACTTCTATTCTGATAAAGACGACTGAATCAACTTGATATTTTGGTATTATCGCTACAAAGAATAACTTTCGGATTTTTTTATTTGTATCTTCAGAACAGGTAGAGTCGGAAAGTAATAAGTTTCAAACTTTCTATTATATATATATATATATATATATATATATATATATATATATATATATATATATATATATATATATATATATATATATATATATATATATATATAATTTGATACCAATGTTTTTTTCGTAAAACATGAGTACACAATCCTAGCCACTTATCTTGAAAACCAAAACAATTAAAATAAAATTCTAAAAAAACTTATTTTTGTCATTTTTCAATTCAAAAAGAAATTAAAATAAAATAAAATAAATCCACAGCAACAATGCAAAAATTCTAAGCATACAATATTATAGTACTACATTTAATATTCTATTAGAATATTCTAAAATTTCCAAAAAAAAATTATAAATTATAATATTCTAATATAATATTACACACATATATATATATATATATATATATATATATATATATATATATATATATATATATATATATATATATATATATATATATATATATATATATATATCATTAATATTCTAATGGAATATTCTATTAAAATATTGAATGATTTTTATGGTGACGTGGATTTTTATTTATTTATTTTATTTTATTTTTTCAATATTTTTTGAAAATAAAAATGACGAAAATATATAATTTTTTTTTCACTTTTTTTGCATTTCTGATTTTTTTTTTTGAACCCAAGATAAATGGTTAGGACTGTGTAAGGATGTCAAAAACTCCTACGGGACCCCGTCCCCGTGGGACCCCAATACCGTACGGAACTAATTTTTAAAAAAACTCGGGAGCGGGAGTGTGAGCGGGGCGATATTAACTCCCGTTTATTTTCAGGACCGGGGGCGGGAGTGAGTATTTATGTCCCGTACTCCTGCGGGAGCCCCGTTTATATATATATATATATATATATATATATATATATATATATATATATATATATATATATATATATATATATATATATATATAATTACAAATGAAAAATTAGGGCCTCATCTTTCTTCCGTCCGTTTTCAATCGTCACTCACGAATTGCGGGGCAAATAGGAAGCGCGAATCTCTAGTTTCGAGGAGTCGACGTCAAGTCGTCGAGGACTTCATTTTCCTTCTCCTTCCCGTTCTCGTAGTCGGCGACCTGTACTCCCAGTCTTCAACGGGCGAGTGGCGAGTGAGTAGTGACGATTGCTTATGCGACTTCTCCAATCTCCAACTCCCACGGGCTATATGCGAGGCTGCGGCTTCAAATTTCTTCCATCACCGGCTCACCGCTACCGAAGACTTCCACAATTGAGGGTAAATACCACCTGTTGATGCTATCAATTTCTGCTGCTTTCAATTTTTGCTTCTAAATTCTCACTCTCACCGATTTCTGCTTCTCACTCTCACCGATTTCTGTTTATCAGTCCCACTGATTTCTGCTGCGTGCAATTAATCTTTTCCAGGTTTCGTAATTTCATATATTGTATGTTATCAATGAATTAAGTATAAGTTTGAAGAATACTGCTACAGAACTCGATGCTTGCAATTAATCTTTTCTAGGTTTCTTAATTTCATATATTGTATCTTAATCATTTATATTGTTGCTATCAATTAATTAGCTACAAGTAAGAATGCTTGATCAAATTGTGTAGAAAGCTTGATGTTTGCAACCTCTAGTTGGAATATTTAATCATTTTATTGTTGCTTGCTGTTTGCCTAAATAAATAGATAGCTTTAGTGCTTTAGTTCTTATTTGTTAATAAAGTTATGGGACTAGACTTCTTCCGCCAACAATTGAAGCTATCATATACACTCAAAATTGGCTATGGGCGGGTAAAAAAGGTATGTATGAATTTGCTTGAACCATTGTTTTTTAATTCATTTTAATGTATTATGCTTATTACCTTTATTTATTTTTTCTTTGTTAGGTTGTGTTATTGATGGTGATGATGTACATTCCGATGAAGATGATGAGGGACTTGAGGTAAGATCGTTCAATTTGTCGTTTTGTATTGAATAAACTAATATAACAATTTATTTTATTATTATTTTTATTATTTATTTAGGGAGGATACTCGAATGTCAGTGAATAAAGAGTTGAAGGAAATTAATGGATACCGAAGATGTAGTGAATTGGTGTTTTATATTTGTAATTTTGGATTTATCGTATTTTGGGTTTGTAATGTTGGATTTGTTTTCATAAGATTGTTGTGTTTGTCTTTGTAAGATTGTAAGATTGTTGGAATTGTTGGATTTTTTATTTTTTATTTTCTAAAAGATTTTGTTTTAAGCTTTTAAATTTATTAAAAATAGTATTTTTGCCATAAACAAAACAGTTTTTTAGCAAAAAAAAAATCTAATTTTAAGTCGGGGAACCGGGGGAGCAGGGGCGATAGAGATAGCCGGGGGCGGGACCGGGGGCTGTGTAACGGGGGAACCGGGGGCGGGAGCGGGAGCGGGGGCAACAACTGATTTCAAGGGCGGGAGCACCTATTTCCGCTCTCGTTTGCCCCCGTTGACATCCCTAGGACTGTGTTTCCATGTCTAACAAAATATAACAGTCTCAGTTCATGGGAAAAATAATATTTTTCAATTTCAACCATAAACAAAATATAAGTTTAAGGTTTTTAAAATTTAAAATTTATAAATATATAATGGGAAAGTTTCAAATACCAAAAATATTTTTATTTGTGTATGCAAACAAGTTAAGGTTGTTTATGTGATTTTATGAATATTTAATGTATGAAAATTCATTATAACAGATTAAAAAAAAACATTAAACGATGTTTAATATTAATATTCCTTTTTTTGAAATTAATTTTTTTTTAAATTAGCCAACACATATATGATTTCTAGTCATGCCAAATAACCACTCCGGCACGCCACCCATTTAAAAGGAATAAATGAAGTTGATTCGGCATTTCTCAAATCAAAAAACATAATAGGGATCATAGACTATAAATACCGTTGTTTAAATGTCTTATTTCACGAACTGCCTACACCATCTTGTGCTGATTCCTGTATCAGCCTATCAGGTATATTCCTCAATTTGTTTTGCATCTTATTGAAGGCATAAACTTGAGATTAAATGATTGGGTAATCTAGGCGTTGAAAATTAAATATTAATCGGTTTTCATTTTACTGATCGATACCATAACATTTTGAAACTTTTGTGATATTTGGTGGGGCTATATGAAGAAATATAGCAGTTTGTATATAAGTAAATCGCAATACATGCGACATGTTGGTAGTTTTTTCATTCTTAAAAAGCAAAATCTTTGACCTAAGAGATGATGTGTTGGTTTTATAGGTATGAATCGGAAAGGGAGGAGAAGCAGTACTCCATGTCCAAGACTAGAAGATGTTCCTGAGTTATTGCAACATATACAATCGTGGTTGCCCCTAGAAGAAGCCACCCGCACCAGTGTCTTGTCCAAATCATGGCTACAAGCTTGGTCTACCATCCCTACCCTAAGGTTTTATGTCCTCAGTGAACACGAAATAATAAAGCAAATGACGTTAAAAAGAAAGCACATGAAGTTGGTCGACGTGGAGCGCACTCTGATAAGGTATCTCCGTGACAACTTACAAATCGAAAAGTTTAATCTTAAAATTGACATTGACAACCAGGAGTCTGCTTCTCTTGCTGAAAAATGGATCCAAAGCGTAGCAACCAAAAGTTGTCTTAAAGAGCTTTCCCTCAACATCCGTCTTTTGGGTGCCTCGTTACGTTTGCCAGATGAGATTCTCTCGGGTGAAAACCTAACTAAGATAAGAGTTTCAGCTTCTTCGACGATGGTAATCCATTCTGATTCAATGAAAACTTCCCATCATCCGAAATGTGTGTCCCTACGAGAACTGCACTTGCATGATGTGCTCATAAGTGAAGAGGTACTCCATGACATATTGTCATCTTGTAACTTGCTTGAGGAGATACACCTTGTTCGTTGCTCTGGGGACCTCAATGCCATCAGGATTAAAAACCTTCCTTGTCTTTACCATTTACATATAGTTACAAATGATGGCGGCTCTACTGCTTTGGAAATCAATCACGTCCCAATTCTTCGCGTTTTTACCTGCAATGTGATTATGCATGGACGGTCTAAACGACCATTGATCAACGCCCATTCGATATCATTAGGAAGCAACGTGACAAAGTTAACATTATGCAGCGGTGTGTTCATCGACAATGCATCTCTGGACATGATGATCAATTCGGGACTACATTGTCTTGAGAGTTTGACCCTTGATTTGACATGTTGGACGTCGAAAACCTTTTATTTCACATCTGCTTCAATCAAGAGATTTTCCTTGCTGGACTGCCCACAACTAGTCGACGTGGTACACGTTACTGCTCCAAAATTACTTTTTTGGACCTTTAAAGGCGAGATGATGCCTAGGCTCTTGTTTCCAGACTCTACTCTTGAGGAAATCGAGTTTCAGCTGAGAATTACGATTCCTCGTCTAAGTGCTTCTTTTTTCCTTAACATGAGGAAAGCAGTCGCGTTAGCAACCAAATGCAACATTCATATAGACATCTCCTACAAAAATCATGACCTGCAACCATTTGAGATCGACATCGATGATCTAAGAGCTAGGCTCCCATTTCCTCCTGCTATAAATGTGGTCGTGTACCTTAGGACCAATGGCGATGAATGCCTGTGGGAGCGCTCCGCTTTTTTTGATGCATTCTTTGAGATTTGTCATCCGATCAGGACGTACATACAAGTGCAGACTCGCAGTTCCAACACAAGAATCACTTTTGCAGGCTGATGCTAAAGGAGGTCTTGGAGAAAAGAAAGAATAAGACAACCACAACGACATATTGGCCTCGTTACCTGAAACGTGTTCAAATGCACCGACCTGGTCATCCAAATTATGAAACCCTAACAATACAATACCACAAAAGGTTTCTAGATGGACCCGGTCCTATTAGTGTTCAATTCTTATTAAACTGGTGTTAAAGTTTGGATCATATCTCATCTTTTACTTTTCATTACGTTTCATTACGTGTGATGTTTTTTTTTTAAATTTGAAAACTCTTGCAAAAAAGGGTTCGTTTTCAATTAATCCGTAGAAATGGGTTGCTTTTAGGTGGCCCTTTTATTTTTCCTTTTCACCCTAATATAATTAAGTCATTTACTTTCTATATTTTTTATTTTATTTTAAAATAGTATTCTGACTTTTATATATATATATAAGGAAAAAGGAATATACATTACAGCCTCACCTAAGCTTAGGTATTAAACCTCTTGAAAATACATTGTTTTACTATATAAAGATTACGGTTAATGGATTCATAATTAATACTTCAAAATGTAAATTCAAGATCGACACAATAGAGTTTAGGGTTTAGGGTTAAGATTTAGGGTTTAGAGTTTAGGGTTTCGGTTTACATTTAGGGTTTAGAGTTTAAGGTTTAGGGTTTAGGGTTTAGATTTAGGGTTTAGGGTTTAGATTTAGGGTTTAGTAATGTTCACTTGGGTGAAGTAATAAACGGTAATTAAGGAAAGAAAACAGGGATGGTAAAACGATAATGAAAGAAAGAAATTTTGTGGAGGATGATATATTTACCAAGTGAAACCAAACCGGGTATATCTACTATGTTAAAACGACATATTTTATAAGTTTAGTACCTAAGCTTAGGTGGGGCTGTAATGTATATTCCCTATCCCCATATATATATATATATATATATATATATATATATATATATATATATATATATATATATATATATATATATATATATATATATATATATCACTACAAGAAACGGGACCTATAGGGACGACAAATGTCGTCTCTATAGGTTAAAAATGTCGTCGCTATAGCCCCGTTGCAATAGATATTTTTGGTCGTTGCTATAAATATCGTCGCAATAGGTATCCTTTAGAGACGACATGTCGTCCTGTTTTGGTTCGTTGGGCTCCATAAATGAAGCTATAGAGACGACATGTCATCTCTATTGGTATATGTATAAACACAACATGTCGTCTCTATAGATAGAGATATAGTCGACTCTCCTTAGCCCTTAGCGACAACGTGCCGTGGTGGTAGATGCATCTATAGAGACGACATGTCGTCTCTATAGGTATGCCCATACAGCTGCTTTTTTTCTCTATAATTTCCCAGTTCTCATATTACAAAATTGCTAAAACAGTAAATTTACAAAATATATAAAATGGTAAATTTAACTGCAAAACATTAATATTCGATACAATCTCAAAACACTACATTATTACAAATATAATTAATAACTTTTATATTATTAAAAATATAATGTAATCAAAAACTTACATTAAAGAAAACAAATAATCATATGACATTTCTTTCTCAATTTATAAAAATAAATGTAAATGATGATATCAGAAACTAAAAGAATATCACTATCTCTTGGATCAAGAATCATGTTCACTGCTTCTTCCTTAATGGAAGTTACTTCAGTCTTCACATATAAACACATTCTGAGTCAACATATGTCACACCCCCGAACCAGACGGCGGAAACGTCCGGGGGCTATCGTGACTCATTGAATACCATAACAATGCATATACATGAAACATAACATTATACATCACCAACATTTGGAAATGATACAACTGGTAACGTTTACATTCATTACATTGTTCAAAAATTTCATTCAAAGAAAATAACTGATTGATGCTACTTAAGCCACAGCAAAACGTCAGAAAGTACAAATCATCTTCACTTTATCTGTTACCTGAGAATACAAGTATTTTGAAAAACGTCAACATATGAAATGTTGGTGAGTTCATAAGTAGAGTTTGAAATCCAATGTGTTGTTTGAAAACCTTTAGAAAATCCGATATTTTCTAGAAATAGAATAGTGTAACAAAAATAGGTGATGATCCATGAGTATGCTTGTTTGAATTCTATAGATGTAAGCGTAAGAGTTGTGAAATTCGACCGGAAATTTGTAATCGTTATTGAAATCCTAGGAAAACCCGACGTTTTCCTATCATTGTATCGTTGTATTCCGGAGGCATCGAGAATACAGAGAGTGGTGAAGTGTTGGGACATACGTTAGTGAAAACGACAATTCAACAACCTTACAAGTGATCCTTTTAGGCGTCACTCGTAAATCTTCACGCGACTCGATCCTCCCGGACTTGTAAAGTCCCACGACCGGAGGGAAGAGAGAAGGTACGAAACCTTCGGGGTTTCCCCGCGTCGTCCGAGACCAAATGCAATTGCGAAGGGCCCGAAGCCCAACTTGCAATCGTGAGTTACAGACTTTACTAGCAGCACTGAAGGACCATTGGGGACCAGCAGCATGGTTGCCATTGAAAGTCCTTTTACGTTATGTCGGGTCGGTAAAACCCAACACTTCGTAAGAGAGAGAGACCTTCGAGCCTTAAGATCAGGTCGTTGGGCTAGCTAGGCTCAACAAACAAGATTTTACACTTTTGGGGCCCAAAGATGGTGCGTAGACATCTGTGCACACTCGCATTGTAATAGTAATCGTTATGGTTATGAATCGAAATGTCGTAACTTCATCGTGTTAGTGATTTTGGATTTTTATTGGTTCGAGATCGAACCAATTCGTTTGACAACGACTTTTGGTATTGTAGTATATTGTATTTCGTCGACAAGCGTGTTTCCATCAAATGGTCAAATTGCATATCTTAACTAGCCTTGAATATTTTCTGTTTTCAGCCCCTCCTTAATTGAAGAATTTACTCTTTTTACCCCTTTATTTAAAAACTTTCCGGTTTGGTCCTTAAATAAATTTTCTTGACATTTTTATACCAAAAATTATTGAAATGAGTATTTTCCAGCAAAATTATCATAGAAAACAGTTTAAGCCCTTGAAACTTCAGTTTTCTCGGTTATAGCCCCTATTTTTCGCAACTTTTACATTTTTGACCCGATTTGGAAAAACTTTACAATTTTGGTCCCTTTTAAATTTGGAAAGCATTTTAAACCTTTGAAAAGCATATGGAACACTTATAGTCCACTGTTTTACAGAAAAATGCAGTTTTGGCCCTCCAATTTAGGAAATTTCGCATATTGGGCCTTATTGGGCCGAAAATGTCATATTTAGCCCAATAAGCTTGGAATTTATGTTTTTAACCCTCTAAATAGCATATTTTCAAAAAAAATACATTATGTAAACTGTTTTGGTTCATCTCACCCATCAGATTTCGAAATGTTTCATATTAGGCCCTTCAACTTTGCATTTTCAACATTTTATGTCAAAAAAATGAGTTTTTAGCCCAAGTTAAGTGTTGTTAAGCTATTTAGCCATGTTCTTAGTATACTTTGCATGTGATAGTCTATTTTGTGCTATGATAAAATGTATGTCTCGGTTTTTAGCATATCACCCTAGATCTATCAATAAAATTATACAAAACATACATGTAAGCATAGAAATCAACCACAACATACACATAATGATGGATCTTCACATTTTCTTGTATTCCCCCCCATAAAAACTCATAAAAATCGAAAATAAGGGGATATGAAACTCACCTTAGGATGTAGTTTCGGTTTTTGAAGAGAATATGAAAGAAATGGAGTGATTTTTCGGCCTTAGCACCTTTCCTTGGTAGATCTCGAGTTTGATGACTTCTAAGGTGTAAGATCACAAGTTGGAATAGATTTAGAGGAGGTTTTTGATGGAATGAAGTAGCTAGATCATGGATTAGTCATCAACTTACCTTAGATGAGGATTTTTGGTGATGGATTCTCCTTGTGAGGCTTCTTGATTCACGAAAATTTTGAAGAAAGAGGGAGGATTGTTCTTCAAGACTTAGAGAGTTTGGAAGAGATTTTTGTGGTGTGTGTGTGTTTGCATACGGCCGAGAGTGAGAGAGAGGGAGAGAAGAGGTGATCTTTGAAGTGATATATGCATGGAGGTATGTGATATGTGCATAGAAGTCCATTGGATAATAGTGAGGTGTCACTCACAAGTCAACATGCCTCCCTTCCTCTTGGGCTTGTGCATTGGGCCGAGAATTTGGAATGGAAGGAGGAAAAATTGGGCTTTAATGCCCTAAGCCCATATATAAGTTAGGTTGGATGGGTTTTAACCCAAAAAAAATGTAATATGATTTTTACACTTTGTTGGGCTAGTTTAGGTTAATCATGATTAAAAATTTTGAATTTATTTCATTCTAGGCCCAACATAGCCCAAAATGTTGAAATAAATAGATGTGGGTCCAATTAGAGCCCATTTAAGGGTTCTAAGCCCATGATAGTCAAATTGGAAGCTTATTGGTCCATTTGGATCCAATAAGAGAGTCCTAGTCCAAAGTGGACTTAAACAAGGACTTCTAGGGTTTCCAATTGTTTGGTGACTATTTGTAGTACTTGCAGGAAGTATTTGATTGAAGTTTTTGATTCACATTAGTTTGAATGTATGGATTACATGACACAAAATTTCCAGTTGTGACAACATATACACTTGCAATGTTTAAGTTAATCCACAAGTAAATAAAATGACAGGTTTGCCCCTGCGACAGTTTCCAAGTGTTTCACAACTGCAGCATATACCCTTATCTGTTTTGTGGGGGAAGCATTAGCAAGTGCAGAAGCCAACGCACCAATCGAAATGGGTTGTGTGATTCTAGTGTCTCTCAATGCCATTCCACCCATGTCATATGGAACAGAAACCATTCCCCCACCTCCAGTTCCGATCATGGAACCATCCGGAACTGTAACATCCCAAAAACACAGTCTGAAATTTTCGTTTAATTTAATGATAAAACCGTAGTCAATAAACCTCATATAGAAATCATAAGCAATGTATATCAAAATATTATAAAAACTATCAAATATATCAGAGTATAAACATCCCAGGCTGAACAAATGGTGTATGCCCTGCAATCTTCTCGAGCTCCTCTTTTGAAAACTGAGTACCTAAAACCAAAACTGAAACTGTAAGCACGAAGCTTAGTGAACTCCCCCCCCCCCCCTAAACTACCACATACCATACAATAACATATAAACACATATTGGGCCTTGCCCACTACATCGGGTCGAAGCCCGCTGCATTGGACCGAAGTCCGGAACCGACTGGGACCTTGTCCCCTGCATCGGACCGAAGTCCGGAACTAACTGCATCGGACCGAAGTCCGGAACTGACTGGGACCTTGTTCCCTGCATCGGACCGAAGTCCGGAACTAACTTCATCGGACCGAAGTCCGGAACTGACTGGGACCTTGTCCCCTGCATCGGACCGAAATCCGGAACTAACTGCATCGGACCGAAATCCGGAACTGACTGGGCATAGAATAGCATACCAAAAACACATATCAAATAGCATAACACACATGATCATAAACTCATATACTGCATACTACGTCAGGCCGTAGCCCATAACACTTAACACATAAATCTTGTTTGAGCCACAAAGGCATCAAACAAACTAACAACTGCATCGGACCAAAGTCCGGAAACTACTGCTACTAAACAGGCCGACATTGTGGCCTTAGACATGTTCCTACTGGAAGGAAACTCACCTCACATTGCTGAAGTCCCGCAGATACAATCCCACACTGCTGAAGTCCCGCAGACTCCACCCCAGTTGCTGGCTGATAGATTCCCGAACTGTCAACACCAAATAACACCCAATTAATAATTGGGTTCTAACACATAACTAAAAATACATGCTTTGGATAATTACTACATTACCCCTAGTTTGGCTTACCCAAGCCCAAGGCCCAATGCATAGGCCCAAAGTCAACTAGGGATCAAAGTCCAACATATGGCCCAATTTTCCAAATCGGGCCCAAACCTCTACATGGACTTCCCTTTAGGACCAATTGATCAGTCCACTCCAACATGTATCACTCTAGGGCCCAATATCATACAACCATCTAGGCCCCAACTATGGCCTAATTTTCCAAATTGGGCCCAATCTTTCATATGGGCCTTACCCTAAAGCCCAACTAATTACTCTAGTCCATTGGATTATTCTCGGATGGGCCAACACAAAGCCCAAGTGAAATTAGGGTTTCACATCAAAAGATAACTAGGGTTAAGTGTTTTTTTACTTAACCCACTAGGGACTTAATCCATTAAGTCCATTGTTGCTTAGATTAATTTCTGTCAATGATTATTATTTAGTATTTCACTTATTAAATAATTCTCGTGTGTCCTGATAAATTCCCAAATATTAATATTTTCTCAATTAGCTCATTAAGGACTTAGTCCATTAAGTTCTTTACTCTACTAGATAAATGACATGGAATAATTGGGCTTAATATTCAATCCAATCTCAATGGACCAAAAGTGGGTCCAATAAGTCTAAGGCCCAATACTCATAATTAGGGTTTTCCACCCAAACATGGCCCAATAGGCCCAAAACCAATCTCTATGCCCATTAGGGTTTGCTAATGGGGCACCACCTACTACCACCTCGGGTAGTGGTGGTCAATGGCGGCTCACAGCGGCGGCCACCACCTTACGGTGGTGGTTATTATTATTTTTCTTATTAATCAAATATAATTACAATTACAAGGCTTTTATCCAAATTAACACACATACATAGCCACACCATGGTGGCCAGTGGCGGTGCTTGGCGGCAGCCACCACCTCAAGGTGGTGGTGGTGGGGTTTTTCATAGAATTTCCGACTGAGAATGCTAATGCAGCTCCATATTGATTCCACACACACCAACACCATATTGCACACACACAGCCACCACCTCACGGTGGCCGGTGGTGGCAGAAGTAGACATCCATGGTGGAAACCACCATGGTTGGCTGCCATGGTGGTTGCTTGACTTCCGGCCATCTACTCACACATGTAAAAGAACTCAATACGTCAACACACCTACTCATGTGCACCCACCCAACGAACACAATTGATCCCTCCTGCTGGTGGTGAACCTCGATCGGGGCATTGAAGGAAAGGTTTGTTGCTGTGGAATAACACCAGGAGCGAAAGATGACTAGAAAAAGCATCGGCAACAGTTGAGGGCGGCTGTGAGCGTCACCAGAAAGAAAACAAGAAGGGGGAGGACGGCGGAAGGTGGCAACGGACTTACTCGACAGTCATATCGTCGACTGCACTTACTGGAAGGTAGGAGCTCCACCGCTCGATGGCTCGACTGATCAAAAAACGAGCAAAGCGGTAGTGGCAGCTGGGAGGGTGATCGAAGGATGAAAGAAACTAGGTGGTAGTGATGCAACAGTGGGTCTCCGACCTTTATTACTGAATCACATCGGAGCAGCAACTTTCGTCTTCTTTGGTAACCCGACGATAAAGTATTGGTGGCTAACGGAAGTTGACGGGCATCCCAAAGTTGATCAGAAAAATGAGGAGAAGGGGGAGCGACGGATGGAGAGTCACAAGGTGGCGGCTAAAGAAAGCATTAGGGTTAGGGTTCTTATATGGCTTATATACCTGTGACTATTATAACTTATTTCCATAATATACACTTCCAGCCCCCCTTCTTTTATTCCTTTCAATTTTGCTCCATTAGTTACCCTTTAGACCTCGGCTCCTAAAATTCTTTACAATTCAATTCCGAATTTTACGAATCAGCCCTTGACTTCATAACTACTTACAAAACAAATCTAAAATTAACACTTTTAACCCTCAACATCTAAAATTCTTCGCAAATCAGTCTGGGGCTCACATTTACTAGTTTATTTAAATAAACGGGGCGTTACAGGAACATTCCGTCCAGGGGTAACGGTACATCTTCCCACGAAGATTGGAATTCATTTGTGATTCCAGTGTCTCTCAACGCATCATCTGTTATTCATTTGTTGTAATCAATCTCAATTAATTAATTTAATTATTAATATCACTGAAATTTTTTTACAAGTGATTGGAATTCTAACCTGTTGCTGCATTAGGGGTATGGGCTGATGGTTTTGCTGACCTAGACCAGTAGCATGCCTGCCACCTGGGTGTTGAAATTTTTGACCTTGCTGCACCATTGGCATGAAGAAGTTTGGCATTGGGGCGCCACCTGGACGCATACCTAGCACGAGTTGCTGTTGATACCCAAATCCAGGCTGTACATGATTTTAAAAAAGAGTTGTTTAGTTTTGAAAAGATCTTTACAAGAACAAAATATTCAACACCATGAAAAATCTTTAAACATGATTATAATAAAAAGAATAATTTTTATTAAATGTTATTACCTGTGGAGGAATGAATGTAGGCTGAGCTTGACCATAGAATATCTGTTGACCTAAACCTGGCCCACCAGGTGGATACATTGGCATACGTGGTGCTACAGCTAGCGCCATTGCAATTGGACGCATCTATGAGAACTGTGCCTATATACAAAAAGGGCAAAATTGTCATTAAAATGTTTATATTGCATAAGAAGTAAGAACATATGTCTCAAGTCTCAACATACCTGCAATCTTGCCCTTCTGTCTTCCTTACGTTGTGCAAGTGCCACATAAAGTCAGACTTCATAGATAGAGAGAAAATGTAAAAACTCAAATGATACAAAAAGAATATTTACCCCTAATGCCTCTTGTCTATCCTTGTTTTCCTTACAAAGATGAAATCTGGAGATGAATATTTGAAAACATTGTCATTAATAAAGAATATAAAGTTTCAAAAGCAAAACATTGTCATTAATGAAAGGAAATAGGATGCTATAATAAACAAATATATGAATGTATGTTGCTATAATAGACACTACCTGAGGAACCTCTACTGTCATAAGGAGTCTCATCTCTTCCTTTCCTCTTCTTATTACCTCTGCCTCTTTCATTATTTTCCAAAGATAATTCCCATCTTTGGAGAATTGAACCTAAGGGTAAAATGGTCATTTTTTAAACCATGATTAAATATAAACATGCATATATATATATATATATATATATATATATATATATATATATATATATATATATAGCTTACTTACATGTGTAACCCCACCTTCATGACCATGTAGGACATATAAGAGCTCCATATTATCTTCTCTATGTATTGCTGTAGTTTGATTATAAGACCCTGTAGCAAGCATCCCCGTATGACTTGGAGAAAAGGCAATTGATAATATGATACGTGAGAGCAAGGAATAAAGCTCATTATTAGTGAAATACCCAAAATACCCTTGTAATTAACCACACCAACCTGATTATCCTTCCTTGTTTCCTTGGATCGTTGAATGTTGTTGGAAATCTCTACCAGGGCGATGAATATCAAATATCCTGATGGATTTGTTGTATCCAACAAATATCCTGAATCAAATAAGTTAATATTTATATAGAAACAAACTTTCATTCATTTCTTTTTCTTATTAAGAAATTATACTTTGAAAAGTCTGACCAATTATGGCATTGTGGATTTTTTTTAAGTACAATGTTGTAACATAAAGAAAGGAATGTATGGTTCTGTAAGAAAAAAAATAAAATAAAGATGAAAGAAAATGTGGTGTAGTCCTTCAAAATAATATAAGCTTACTTTTTTCGTGAGGAATTGAAACCAATTGAGAAGGCAACAGTTGTTTCATCCATGGCATCATATGCTCGATATGTGCAACATAGTTGTAATTCCATGTTGAATCAATCAAGTGTTAATAAATTAATACCACAATTATTATCCATAAAATGAATAATAATAATGACTAATTTAAAAATTCAATGATATAAATTAAGACCAAAGCACATGCTATATTCAATTAGGTGCATTTAGTTAAATATTAAGATTAAAGAATATGATGAAGCACCTGTCCTGTGCTATAAGATGAATAGGCACGAGTGGTGGTTGCAAACACACAAGAGACTTGATCTACAATACAATCAGAGTAACATAATTCTTGTTAACTGCTGATTTACATGCGAAGTATCTTTGGATAGTCTACTAATAATGAAAGAAAAAGGATATCAACAAAAGAACCTGAAGCAGACATGTAAGTATGCATTTTGATGAGGATTCAGGTCCATCTACTGCGTCTGTAACCAAGAACTTGAGTTTCTCTTTAAAAAAAATCATGAACTGCCTGAAGGGAGCAAATTATTAGTAAATTACACATACACATACTATTGATTAGCTATAATTGATGAAAAGAAACATTGATAAGAAAGATTCCTACTATTCGATGAACTTTATCAGAACTTGGAGAAAGAACAATGGAGGTATTGGTAACTATAACTCCATCTTCATCATTTGAATTTAGCTTATGTATAAACTCCTTCAGGGAGTTGGAATCAGAGTCACCAGCTAAGGCTCTAAACGATTCAATTTCACTAAAATGGTTACCATTAGTTTGATTTGTAGTCTTTGATTCATGTTCCTCTGCTGTCTGAATCGAAAAAATGTAGACCGCTAAAGTCAGATGTAAGGATGAATGGATATGATTGTTAATTAGATGATAACAGACCTCCATTGGTGCATCTAAGGAAGTCAAATGAACAACATTTCCATCTAAATCCACTTCATTGACTATAAAACCAGAGTACCTGTAAACAAAAACATAAAATCAAAAGGCTACTCTTCATTTGAATAAAATGTAAATTCACAATTGTTCCACCTTTATAGAATCATTACGAATGTCTGAAATGAAAGGAGAATACCTGTACTCCCAAGTCTGAAAGCCTGATTTGTAGAGGATGAAATGAAGAGGCTCCTAATAATTGAACACTAACCTAGGTCGCCGGAGTGGGGCATCTATTCTTTAGAATTTGTAACAGGAGGTGAAAATGAAGCTGGTAGTTAGATTCGTCGGCATTGAAGCTAATCGTCGGTGGTCTTCAGCAACTAACATGAAGATCGAGAGTTAGTAAGAAGATTTGTCGGGAGTAGGAGGTGAGGAAGTCACCAGGGCCCAGGGGTGAATTGTCGATAGAGAGAGAGAGAGAGAGAGAGAGACTGATGATTGAGCGTGCATGCATGAAACGAAGGGGATGCTCTTCTAATGTTGGGCATAGAAAGCTATGGGGACGACAAGTCATCCCTATAGCTATCAACGTCCGAGATTTATTTTCGTGAAGGGCGCGCTAAACACACATCCTTTCCCACTTAACACACTGAGTCGAGAAGTCGTCGCTGTAGCCTCAAAAGTAAAAAAAATCATCAAATCCATGGCAACGAGATGTCATCCCTATAGGTAGCCAATAGCAACGACAAATGTCGTCCCTATAGATCTCGTCGCTATAGGTTCTTATTCTTGTAGTGTGTGTGTGTATATATATATATATACACATATATATATATATATATATACATATATATATATATATATATATATATATATATATATATATATATATACACCACACCACACCAGGTAATTCTTAGGGGTCGTGTTAAGCACGATGCATGAAGGGTATTTTGCGTATCTAAAATACAAAGCTAGAAAGCTTTAATTTGTTCAATTTTTTAAAATACAATATCCGAATAAAGAAAAATTAAAGTAATGAAAGCACAATGTTATAATAAAGAAAAAAAATAATACTACAATGTTATAATAGGATAAATTTGTTAAAGTATTATATATGTTCTACTAAGAAACTTTTCGTACTTCTTTCACAACTATGACCACCACTTAAGTAAATGGAAGTAAGGTGTTATTTCTTGCATTTATGATGGAGAAGAAAACACAAAAACAAACTTCTACTCAGTGAAAAACCAAGTGTTAGTCTATAGAAAATTAAAAGAAATCATGTGGTTGATTTGAAGCTGTTGGTATGCTCCTAGATGTCATTCACTAATGGATTTCTAGTAGATAGTGATGAGAGGGCCAGAGTTGAGCAGGAACTTCACATAAGGTACCACACATTTATCGAGGCTAAAACTTATATTCATTTCCGTTATCAAATTACATGCCATTATCACGATTTCAATAGTCAATGATGTCATGTTCATAGTCACAAACATTAACTCATACAATAATGAAGTTGAATTTTGGTTTCAAATCAATAATCAAAATATTTACTTTTATGGATAATATACCACACAAAGAAGTAATTAGGTATATCTAGTATACTTCAAATTACAAAAAGATTTAAATACATCGATCATGATAACGTAGGTTATTCATTTTCCATAAAAAAATCCATTGATCATGAAAAGTAATACCTTTTCCATACGTACCTTTAAAAAGTCTCATTGTTATATCTATCCTTTCAGTCTTGCAATCTGCAATACACATTGATCAAAATGCTACAACTATATATTTATGAAGCTGTCAAGATAATTTTATCGGTCCGATATCTATTTTCATGAACAATTTCAATTATGTGTTTTCCTTTTTGTTTGAAGCCTCTCTTACTTTGCCAATTAGCACATCCAAAGGAGAATATAAGGTATAGTTTAGGAGTAGGTTAGATTTGCCGTTAAAAAAAAAAAGATTGTATTTTCTCTTATGGTGTCAAACTGCTTTATAAATGTCTATGTATATGATCTTTGCATGAATGGTTGCACAACTTTTCCACATGTATTTGATTGGAGATACAAAAATATACAAATTAAATACAATAATAATACTCATACCTCGATCTAATTAAAATAAACAATTTTTATGTAATATGACTTCATATAAAAGAAATGGTCCCTAGTGATTTTCGTCAGTAAAAATTGCAAAATCATAAGTTCATAACGTTTTTTTTATATATCCAAGGATTTTTTTATAGCCTCAGCTTCAACCTCTAAATTTGAAGATGCAATGTTCTTTAGCACACCATCTTCAACATCCACTTCACAATCACTTCCAGATTCTTGTTTTCCAAAATCATTAAACAACAAATAACTCTTAAAAACATCACCTTTCTTTATATCACTTGGCACCACATTTGGTCGGACACGACTTCTAATCAAGTAAAAAAATGAGCTTCTATAAAACCCATTAAATATGAAGGCACAACCACTATATTCTCACCATCTATCTCTTTAACTTGATAAAGATTGCTCTCTTACATTCACAAGATAAAATTGCATGCGATACATGAGAACCAACATAAACCAAGCATGTATAGTTATACCTTTGTGTTTTGAAATGAGATTTGTAGAACATTATATAGTAAACCTCTAAGCATTAACCAAAATTGAACTTAAAATTAAAAGAAACAAAGATTTGATCATATATAACAACACACTAAACCCTAACATCAATCGCATAAGTGGTTGTTTCAACTAAGCAGTGGGTAGCAATATGAGGTATTTGCTTTGGAAATCAATCATGTCCCAATTCTCCGTTTTTTCGGCTGCTACATAGTTATCGAAGGACGATCTAAACGACCATTAATCAATGCCCATTCAATATGTTTAGGAAGCTACATGATAGAGTTAACTTTACGCGGTGGTGTGTTCAGGGACAAGGCATCTCTGAACATGATGATCAATTCGGGACTACATTTTCTTGAGAGTTTGACCCTTGATTTGACATGTTGGACATTGAAAACCTATTATTTCACATCTGCTTTAATCAAGAGATTTTCCTTGCTGAACTGCCCTCCATTAGTCGACGTGGTACACGTTACTGCTCCAAAATTACTTTTTTGCCCTTCAAAGGTGAGATGATGCCTAGTCTCTTGTTTCCAGTCTCTACTCTCGAGGAAATCGAGTTTCGGATGAGAATTATGATTCCTGGTCTAAGTGCTTCTTTTTTCCTTAGGATGAGGGAAGCCCTCACGTTATCAACCAAATGTCGAGTTCATATAGACATCTCCTTCAAAAATCATGACCTACAACCATTTGAGATCGCCATCGATGAACTAAGAACTAGGCGCCCATTCCCTCCCGCTATGAATGTGGAACTGTCTTTTATTACCAATGGTGATTAATTCCTCTGGGAGCACTCCTACTTTTTTGATGGATTCTTTGAGATTTGTCATCCCAAGGACATACTTGCAAGCGCAAACTGACAGTTCAAACACAAGAATCACTTTTGTAGGCTGATGCTAAAGGAGGTCTTGGAGAAAAGAAAGGGTAAGACAACCACAACGACATATTGGCCTCATTACCTGAAAAGTGTTCAAATGCACCGACCTTATCATCAAGAGTATGAAAACCTAACAGTATCCCACAAAAGGTTTCTAGATGAAAACCCAACGACATATTGGCCTCATTACTTGTGAGTTTTTTTAAATGTATTGTATTTGAAAAATATTTAGTCTTTACAAAAAAAGTTTCAGCTTCAATTCATTGGTAAAAATGGGTTTACTTTTAGGTGGCCCCACACGAAAAACAATGGTAGCATATTAATATTTTATATTGGGTCCTAGTTTTCATTTTAACCCTAACATAATTATGTCATGTTCTTTCTACATTTGTTATTTTATTTTGGAATAGTTATTCTGACTTTTATTTTACAAACACACGCACACACACACACACACACATATATATATATATATATACACACACACACACCAAGTTATTTTTAAGGGTCTTGCAAAACACGACCCACGAAGGGTATTTTGGTTATCTAAAAAACTGTAACGTCCCAAATATCACGACTAAAATTTACTTTTTAAAACATTGCTAAAACCATATTCATAAAAACCGTATCATAAATCATAACATAATTTTGTAGCATTAATTCGAAATACAACTTATTATCAGAGTAAAACATCCCAGGCTAGCTAACTATGGTGTGTGCACTGCAATCTTTCCGAGCTCCTCTTTTGAAAACTGAGTACCTGAAACCAAAAACTGAAACTGTAAGCACGAAGCTTAGTAAGCTCCCCCAAACTACCACATACCATATAATAACATATAAAGCACATACTGGGCCTTGCCCACTGCATCGGATCGAGGTCTGGACTAATTGGGGCCTTGCCCCCTGCATCGGACCGAAGTCTGGAAACTGACTGGGACCTTGTCCCCTGCATCGGACCGAAGTCCGGAGTAACTGGGGCCTTTCCCCTTGCATCGGACCGAAGTCCGAAAACTGACTGGGACCTTATCCCTTCCATCGGACCGAAGTCTGGACTAACTGGGGCCTTTCCCCCTGCATCCGACCGAAGTCCGGAAACTGACTGAACATAGCATAACATAACATATCAACTAGCATGAACACATATATACTTCATACTACATCGGGCCGTAACACATAACACATAAATCCTGTCTGAGCCACGAAGGCATCAAACATACTAACTACTGCATCGGACCGAAGTCTGGAAACTACTGCTAATTGAACGGGCCGGAATTATGGTCTTAGACCCGTTCCTACTGGAAGGAAACTCACCTGAACTGCTGAATTCTGCTGGTAACCCTCGGACTGCTAACCAACCACCGTTTGAAATGCTGCTCCTCTAACTCTCCGAGCTACCAATAACAAAGCGACACTTAGCCTGACAGTCCTCTAAAAGTCAAGTAACTCAACTCCGATCAAAGTCAAAGTCCTAGCCAATGTCAACCTTCCATGTTGACCCTACTCGCCGAGTCAGTCTACTGACTCGCCGATTTCACTGATTTCCGAGTTCTGTCCTGTCCAACTCACTGAGTCCCCACACAACTCACTAATCTGAGCCTTGACTCGAAGGGTTTAGGGTTTCGCGACTTGACTCGCCGAGTCCAAGAACGGACTCGCTGAGTCCAAGGCAATCTTCAACAGACTCGCCGAGTTGTTCATCCAACTCGTCGAGTTCGCCTCCATCTTCATACTACTCGCCGAGTCCACTCAAAGGACTCATCGAGTCTGTTCAGTCCTTAATCCATGTAGTGTCTTTTCAATCCAAACAGGGCTTCCAACTAAAAGATCCATACTTCTAAGGCCTATCCCTCACGTAAAGTGGCAAACTTTATGTGTAGATAAAGAGATCTATGCTTAGAACAGTCCAAACTAGGGTTTAAGACAAGAGGCTTCACCATCAACCCAAGAACAGATGATTTATGACTTTCTAGGCCAAGATACTCTCAGATCTGAAGTAGCAACTTCAGATCTAGGCTTCTAACTCGAAATAGTTCTTAAGCATGGCATAAAAGCCCCAAATCTCATAGCCAAGGTTGATCTATTAAACAAAAGAGGGAAGGTAACGATTTATTACCTTTAAATGCTCAGAAATGTTCCACCAACTCTGGATCCAAGGCCCCCTTCTTGCTCCACTATGACTATCTTCTCTCTCAAGCTCCAAAAAGCTTCACCAAGGGTAGATCTTGCTCCAAAACGATTATGGCGGCTAGGGTTTAGTGTTCTGTGTTAGAGAGGCAGTAAAGGAACCCTAAGGGAGAGAATGAGACATTTAAATAAGCTCCAAGTTCCGGATTTAGAGTTTTCCTCGCTCAGACCAGACTCACAGAGTCACCTTGGCCGACTCGCCGAGTCGGTCGCTTACAGCTCGACCCAGATCCCGCTCGCACTCGCCGAGTCCCTCCTTGGACTCGCCGAGTCGCCCCTTAAAATTGGGGTTTTCTTTCTTTTCTTGGCTTTCCAAACTCTGGGTGTTACAACTCTCCCCCACTTAAACTAAACTTCGGCCTCGAAGTTTGTTACGATCCACCGACTGCGATCTGCGTCCAATACCCCACCGCTCATTCTAACACTAGTTGTCTACCTTCGCTGGCCTTCCGCTCAGTCATTCAGACCAATGTCAATCCTTACAGATAATAATATCGGGTCCATCCTGACCCTGAACATTCTGGAAATGCAACTCACTCAACCGACAATCTTTCTGATACTCTCCAAATACTGCACTGACCCCGTAGGGGTTCACCCCTTCTTTCCTTGCACGATGTCGTTGCCTTCCCAAGGCGATGCTCCATAACTACCTACCTCTTCCATCACTGTGAAGACCCTGTCTCCACCAAATCTATTACTCCCGCTACTCCCAGTACGGGTCATCGTCGCTAGTATCCACTGGGCATTCTTTCTACTACCATTCGGTGTCGCGCATCCCACGAACAACTGACTGAATCCTACCATACGCTGCATACTCGCACTGCTACTGACTGAAAATTCTGCTATTCCATATCTGGCTTCCAGATGAACTGAGACCACCCAGGTCCAACTTATATGGTTGAACTTGCAGTCTGACACAAAATTAATACTGCCCAAAATACTGCAAGTATCTGAAACACTGAACTGTTTGGAACACTGTACTGCTTGAAATAGTGAACTGCCTGAAACACTGGACTGCCTGCAACACTGAACTACCTGAACAAAACCTTTCTTTGGAACTAGTTTCCACTAGTCATCTTGTTAATGTGGTCTTAACGACCTCCCGATCCAACCGACCGGGTCCAAACGTCGAATCCAAACATCAACAAATCCAAGACTATAATGATGGCTCCCAGGCTAATGGTAGCCCTTAGCATACATGAACCCTAATGGTTCGCTGCTTCACTGATCTCATGACTGTGATTACGATCCATCTGTCGCATTACTGGCTCAACCATGACTAGACTCTGGAAAATTCGAAATCCAACCCGTGGATTTCTGTATGCTCGCTGCTGCACACGAACTGGTGGATACTACTGCTTCTCCCCTGCGTCCAAACAACGCGTTCATGCTGTCTACTAACTTGGCGAATGCTACAGCTACACCCGTAGACCTACAACTCCCTAATACTATCTGGCTGCTAGTGAACGCTACGTCTACCCCCGCAGGCTTAGATCACTCTATTACTATCTGACTGCTAGTGAACGCTACGGCTACCCCCGCAGACTTACAACACTACTACTACTATCTGGCTGCTAGTGAATGCTACGGCTACCGCCGCAGACTTATAACACTACTACTACTATATGGCTGCTAGTGAATGCTACGGCTACCCCCGCAGACTTACAACACTACTACTACTATCTGGCTGCTAGTGAATGCTACGGCTACCCCCGCAGACATACAACACTACTACTACTATCTGGCTGCTTACCAATCACTATTCCAAGGACTTCCTGACTATCCCTAGTTCTGCTAGCAATTTCTCATCCTGACTTCTCAAAATCAGTCCTCAATCATTAGATGCTGCATCAACCTTGACATCTTATATCCTTGATGAAATTAGCGTTCCGTCGAGGAATTATTCGACTTGGTTCCCAAACCAACTGTCCACTAATCCAGAAACATGAAACTAACATTGGGAAGTTTCCAAACTTCCAACTCCTGAATCCACACAACCCTACATGCTGTCTCCACCACTGACTACTAACATGGAAACATCTCTTGCTAACCGATCTCATGATCCTCCTTCCGACTCAATAAAGTCCTACCAGTGGTCCTCCAACCTGGATTCCCAATCAGCTACTAACCATATCGATTACATGAACTAACTGCTGGGAAGTTCCCCAAACTCCCAAGTCTGATCTCCTTGATCCAGCCATTGCTATGCTACTATCCTTTCTTTTCAAGGATTGCGTACTCATTTCGGGTCCGCGTGCTCTTGCCCTCGCATACTCGGAGGATTCTCCCCCACTTGGATCCGACTAACTCCTTACTGCTCACTGGTCAAAAGGATTCGCCAACCTTCCTTCCACTAAGGGCGATCTGCTGCCCGCCAACATTTATCTCTGTCGACACTCCATCTGATCTTTACCAGATCCGAACCACTCTTGCTATCTAACCGAGCACCCTTCAGTCCTTTATTGTACTTGCTTTAGTGACTGCACCCTGAGAACCTGCGTTTAGGGTGAATATCTCCAACTCACTTCCTTACTGACCGCTAGCTGCTCTACTAGAAGCTGTAGATTGTGACTACCGAGGATATAACCGATCAGTACTCGAATGACACCTTCCAAAAGTAGCGAGACGCTTCTGAATATTACACATACATGTCGAAGTTACTATATCCGGAGTAGCCTGTTCTAAAGGGGGCGACCCCCAACTATCATGTAACATCCC